GATTTTAGACCTTGAAACCCTGTCTTTCAAAATAGTTTTTGAAAATGTTCCTACGATGTTCCGACGCTCGTATTTTGTTAAATGTCGCGCTTTTCAGTAAACTGAGCAAGGAAAAAGTGGAAATGAATGAAAGAGAGGTGAAATCTCTGAAAAATCTTTCAAAACACCTTATTTAGGGGTTTGAAGTTGAAGAAAAGAGGGGAGGAGGGAAGAAAACTAGTTTGGGAGAAGTTCAGCATGAATCCGGGAAGGATTGAAACTGAGCGGCTTCACTAAAAGGAGCATACCTTTTCCACAGTTGGAATTTTGATGTGAGGCCTTCACTATTGGAAAGATTACATCTGGGGCTTCAATTTGGACACAAGAAGGACCTGAAAGGAGTCCAGATGAAAGAAATATGCCCATTTGAAGTTTGACTGGCAGAGTAGATTTTTGCTGTCGGCCACTAGGGGTGGCCGGCCGGCCAGTTGAGGGAGCCTACCGGCCACTTGAAGTAGCCTACAGGCCACTTATGTCCAAAACTCAGATATTTTGTAGATATTTCTCCTCCAACTATTTTCACAATGTGCCAACTGTCCCAATTCAGATATTTCGACCAACTTCTCCATTTTTGCTATATACTGAAGCCATATCTCATATATTTAGAGGTTAGAAAGTTTGGGGCCTCTATCTCTAAATCTCTCTCTCTCTCTCTCTCTCTCTCTCTCTCTCTATAATTTTGAGAGCAAAATCTCTTCCTCTCTCTCTAGAGTTCCCTCTCTCTTGCCCTTTTGTGCGTAGAAGTGGAGAAACACTTCTAGTTTGCCTAGACATCCTTCATCAAAGTTGCATATCTTTGGGCTGAGGTCCCTTGGAACTAATTTTGGGTTGCTAAAGGCTGGTTTTGGCTCAGATAGTGGCTGTTTAAGTGCTGTGCTTCAAAGGTATATCACTTACTTTCTTTAAGCCTATTTTGCACACTTGTTTTGCCACCTTTGCAAACTATTTTTGAGCTAGTTTTCAACTACAAAAACCTCTATTTTTCAGTGCTAAAAATGGTGGTTTGAGCCCATTTTGTGTTAGGGGGTTGTCTCTCCCTTTTGCTCCTTTGCTTGTATAGGTTTTCTGCCATCTTTCAAGGCCTTCAAAGCAACCTTTTCTTGGCCTTTTAACCACTGAATTCTAGAGGAATTTCAGTGGTAGAAAGTTTGTTTTGAGATCCAAAATAGGGGGGAATGGCCTCCCCTCATTATCTCTCTATGCCATGCCTTGTTAGCACTACAAAGTAGCATCTTTTTATGGCTTATGTTAGCTTAGTTCAAGCATGTTTTAGGCCTTGTTTTGACCTGCTTTAACTCTAATTTTTGCTGGTTGGGTCATTTGTGGCTTGATTTTGGTACTTGTAGAGTAATCAGGCTTACTAGCTTAGCATACTTGATGTTTTAACCTATTATTCTAGCATGTGTTGGCTCCACTCCAGCATGTTTTTGGCCTTGCTTTGACATGCTTAAACTTTGTTTTGAGTGGTCTTGGTCCTTTGAGGCTTGCCTTGTATAGCTATAGTGTAGTTGGCCTTCACTAGCTTTGTGTTTAAGGCTCTTACCATGCTTTGCTTGAGTTGTTTGCATGCTATAGCATCATTTGGCATGTAATTTTAGAGCATATTCCTCTGTCATACTCTCACATATATCATTCATTAAATGCTTTTGAGAGTTGTGCCTTATGCCCTGCTTGTGAGCCAATTTGTGTGCATGTTTGTCTAGTCTTTTGAGCTTCAATTCCAGCATGTTTCGGCCATTGTTTTGGCATGTTTAAGCTCTGTTTTGAATTGGTTTGGTTGTTTGAGCATTGCATTGCATTGCATGCTTCTAGTGTAATACACTTCACTAGCTTTGATGCCTTTGCCTTAAACATGCATTATTTGAGTTGTTTGCATGATTTTGAGTCACTTAGCATGTTGTTTCAGTGCTAAAATATGTGTCATTGCACTCCATGGTTTCAATCTTTCATTTTCTTTGAAAGTGGTCTTAAGCCCTTTGTTGGCTTGAGCATGGAATTGAGGCTCTCATGCCTAATGGTTTAAGTCTTCTCTTGAGGGTTTCTACTAACCAAAAGCATGAGGCTTCTTTCATGTTCAAGGTGCTTGTGGCTGAGGTTATCTTTCCCATTAGAGGACAATCACATTGAACTTAACCAGTTAATTGACTAATTGGTGAGCTAAAATGTGTAAACAAAATTGAATCAAGTAAAACTTGTGTAAAATAAGCATATTTTGTTGCATTGCATGTGTTTGGATTGGACGTTAATCCAAACACAAGAAATGTGGAACGTTTCATACTCATAGTGATGAAACGTGGCTTCTTTCATGCTCAAGGTGCTTGTGGCTGAGGTTATCTTTCCCATTAGAGGACAATCACATTGAACTTAACCGGTTAATTGACTAATTGGTGAGCTAAAATGTGTAAACAAAATTGAATCAAGTAAAACTTGTGTAAAATAAGCATATTTTGTTGCATTGCATGTGTTTGGATTGGACGTTAATCCAAACACAAGAAATGTGGAACGTTTCATACTCATAGTGATGAAACGTGTCACATTTCTTGGTCGCCGACACCCTTGATCATGCATGACAGGGTGGAGGCTCTTTGTGTCTTGTTTCTGCATTCACTAAGCTTGTACAAGCTTGGTTTTCAGGCCATCATGTATTGAGATGCTTGATTGGTGGCTTGAGAGCTGAGTGCCACCCTCCTTTGAGCTTGAGACATGATAAGGAGTGTGGTAGTACACACATTTTCTTGCAAATACATTGATGTGCCTCTGTTGTCCTCTGTTGCAGCAAAACCAGAAGCCTAGAAAAGTAGGTGGCCGACCGGCCACTTGAGGTAGCCAATCGGCAAGTTAAGGTGGCCGGCATCCACTTTTTGTGGCCGACCGGCCACCAGTCCAATTTTGTGCAAAAATGATCATGTTTTGGAGTAGAAACAGTGTGGGGATTGGTTCAATGTTCAGAAACCAAGGCAAGTGCAAACAGAGGCAATTGACGGCAAAACAATGGATTTCTGGGATGGCGCCAACCGAGCATGCATCTCTCCTTCGGCCGCGAGGCCATTTCATTGCTTATGTTTAGTTCGTGGCTGACCGGCCACCAGTCCAATTTTGTGCAGAAATGATCATGTTTTGGAGTAGAAATAGTGTGGGGATTGGTTCAATGTTCAGAAACCAAGGCAAGTGCAAACAGAGGCAATTGACGGCAAAACAATGGATTTCTGGGATGGCGCCAACCGAGCATGCATCTCTCCTTCGGCCGCGAGGCCATTTCATTGCTTATGTTTAGTTCGTGTAACTAGTCATTTGATTTGTTTTGTAATATTATAATTAGCTTATAACAACTTTTTGTTTCAATTTGGGTTGTAATATTTAATTAGGTAGAGTTAGTTAATTAGTTTACTTGTAATAAGTAGCTTAGCTTAGCATAGCTTAGTTCTTATTCATTCGGACCCTCCTTCGAGAGCGCGCAATGTTGTAATAAGGGTGCGTACGTGTGTGCATGTCTTCCAACCCCACTTATTTCTCCCTTTTATTTAACTGCTTTTGATGGTTAGTCTTAGGGCACGTTTCGATTAGCATACCTTATGTTTTACATGTTTGCATCATTCATTTGCCTTGCATGCACCGGGCTCGGTGCATCTTTCAAACTACATCGTATTTCGATACCTATTTGAATACGTGTATCAAGTGTTGAATTCATATGCCATCTTAGCTAGCCGAGCCTATTTTAGTTGCATTTTTGCATGCGTTGCATTAGGCATCTTGTATAGTTAGGATCATACATGATTTCTAACTAGCTTCTTTTTTTTGCATGAGTGTGAGTGTTGCCATGATAGCATGCTTGCCATGAGGCTATTTGCTTAAGTGATTAACTGTATGAATGCCTGTGGGTGAAGACTGATCGCCTGAATTGGGACAATTCATCAAATGAATGTTTTAAGCCCACTTTGCGAAGTGGCAAAATCATGTTTTAAAGCCCACTTGAGGGTGGCAAATCCGCGCTTTAGCCTACTTGCGAGTAGCACTTTCAAACCATTTTCAAGAAGAAATGTGAGTTGTTTTGTTCCAATTTTTATGATCGAGTCTATACTTGTATGCTGTGCGCATCACATAGTAAATTAGATTAATAATCAGAATAAGAACACATGTGTTTATCAAACAACATATCATGTTTAGTAGAGGCCAATCCTTTGATCGGGCGAGCGGGGGTGCTCAAGTTATGACCTTCCCCTCTCGTACCCAAGTTCTCTAGCTGAAGCAACTTTGGTGATGACGGACACGTGGCCTTTGACACGAGTCAGGGTTTCCTAAATTTTCCAAAAACAAAATATTTAGGTGGCGACTCTGTAATCTGGAAAAGCAGTCCATGTTTGGCGCTTTTTGATTCAAAATTGATTTTCCAAAATCGATTGCCAGATTTGGACTCTTTGGTGATTTATCAGTCTTACATTGCACTTTGTGAGATTACATTCAGAACTGTGACGGGAGTCTGAACTGTATTAGTAAGACCGCGCGCGAAGAAAGTCGGGTGCTACAGGTAACATTAAGGTTGATAATATTCTCAATTGCAGTTATAATTAGGAGATTGAGACTAGCCTAAAGGAGAGTCACTTTCAAATAATTATGAACTGGGTTTTGTAATGTAACTTATGTAATTTGACAGATTAGAATTGAATACCCAAAGGTAACATGACTAACTGAAAAGTTTGATAAATTACTTTAGACCCACATAAGTGTTTCTTGACGAGTGGACAATAGATATACCTAAGTTTTGCCCAAAAGAAAGACTTATGTGATATCAATAGTTCATGATTATAATTCTGAAAGCTTTAATATGTATATTGTTCTATCTTATTCCAATGAAAGTTCCCACCTCATTGCACTCTCTTGCATCGGGCGTCCCTCTACTTACTGGCTCGAATTTTTTGGAATGGTATGAGCACGTTCAGTTTACACTGGGTTTGGACCTTGATATGGCATTGCTTGAAGATAAACCAGCAAACATTAATGAATATAGTATTGCAGAACAAGTTGCCCTTTTTGAATCTTGGAAAAGGTCCAATAGACTTAGTTTGATGTTCATGAAGATAACCATTGCAAATAACATCAAGACCTCCTTACCTCAAACTGTTAATGCATTGGAATACTTAAAGGCTGTTGAAGATCGATTTAGATCTGCTGACAAGTCACTTGTTGTCACTATTATGGCTGAATTGACAACAATGAAATATGATGACAACCGAGGGGTTTTGGATCACATCCTCAATATGGCTGACAAAGCTGCAAAACTTAAAACTTTAGGGATGCAAGTTGATGAAACTTTCCTCGTGTAGTTTATTCTCAACTCACTTCCATCACAGTTCGGCGCATTCAAAATCCATTATAACACCAATAAAGATAAGTGGAGTTTGAATGAGCTGACTAATATGTGTGTTCAGGTGGAATTGAGGTTGAGTGAGGAAGGACGTTAAACTGCATTGGCTGTAACTCATCTAGCTATAAAGAAAAAGAAGGGTAAGTTTGTAAAATCAAAGAAAAATCCACCAAAGAAAAAGAATAAACTTGGGGAAGAAAATCAGGCTCATAATGGTTTCATTGTCAAGTGCTACTTTTGTGGCAAGAAAGGACATGTGAAGAAAGACTGCAGCAAGTGAAAGGCTTGGTTCGAAAAGAAAGGGATACCTTTCAACCAAGAAACCGAAGAAAAGTGAAAGATTTGTCTATATGGCGAACCATCTCAAAGCTGAAGTCGTAGCTGTAGGAACCTACCGACTGATCTTAGAGACGGGTCATTAGATGGATCTAGAAGACACTTTTTATGTTCCTTCAATTTCTAGGAATTTAGTTTCCTTATCCAAATTAGATCGTGTTGGATATTCAACTTATTTAGTTGTGGAAAACTCAATTTAATGTTTAATTCAATAATGATTGGTTCTGGTAATTTATGTGATAGTTTATATAAATTACCTTAAATCATGAGTTTGCACAATCATTAGTAACTCTGCATTTGAATATTAGTTTAAGACGTGGTCTAATTAATGAAAAATCCTCAATCTTGTAGCATAGACGGTTAGGACATATCCCTAGAAATAGAATTGAAAAATTGGTGAAGAATGGGATTTTGGAAAATCTAGACTTTACTAATTTTGAGATATGTGCAGACTGCATTAAAGGAAAGCAAACCAAACACAAAAAGGTGCCACAAGAAGTAATGAGCTTCTTGAGATAATTCATACAGATATTTGCGGGCCACTCAACATCTCATGTCTTAGTGGTAAAAAATATTTTATCACATTTATAGATGACTTCTCACGTTATGGATATGTGTATCTAATTCATGAAAAGTCTCAGGCTGTTGACATCCTTGAGGTGTACATAACTGAAGTCGAGATATAATTAGATAGAAAGGTTAAAATAGTGAGATCAGACAGGAATGGTGAGTATTATGGTAAATATGATGAGTCAGGCCAAAATCCTAGCCCATTTGCCAAATTCTTAGAAAAGAAAGGCATTCGTGCTCAATATACAAAGCCTGGTACGCCACAGCAAAATAGAGTTGCTGAAAGGCATAATCGTACACTTAAAGATATGGTTAGGAGTATGTTAAGTTACTCAATTGTACCTATTTTACTGTGGGGTGAAGCTTTAAAGACTGCAATGTTTATCTTAAATAGGGTTCCTAGTAAGGTGGTCCCAACAATTCCTTTTGAGTTATGGACTGGTAGGAAACCTAGTTTGAGACATTTACATATTTGGGGTTGTCCAGTAGAGGTAAGAATCTTCAACCCATAAGAGAGAAAGTTGGACTCAAGAACAATATCTGGATATTTCATTGGTTATCCAGACAAGTTTAAAGGGTACAAATTCTATTGTCCTAATCACTTCAAATGGTTGTTGTTTCTAGCACTTCGTACCCACACATTCTGCCATTTTAAGGACCTTGTAACTTGCACTAATGGTTTGGTTGCTATCTTAATCTGTCACATTCCTTCCTATATTATTTAACTCTAATAGTTATTGATTCTATTATGGTTGTTTTGGTATTCAATAAGCATAATATATTTTTAATGTAAAAAGTAGAAAGATTGTTATGATAACAAGAGGAAATCATCAAAGATCCCCACAAAATGCATGAAAGAATTGTCACATAGACTTTTTATTTTATCATGTTAGTCATGTCCTTTTCTTTTAATGAGACTAAAGTCGTAATGAAAAAGAGATTATGCTTTGCTAATGAATGAAATATTTGACTATCTTAATTATTTACATTCCTGTTCATGTAAGAAATTTCAATCTTCATGATTCTCCATGGTTTGGTAAACACTTTCTTCAATCTTTGGATCATTCCCCTCCTCATTCTCTCTCTCTCTCTCTCTCTCTCTCTCTCTCTCTCTCTGTGTGTGTCTCTCATGGGAGTTATCTCAAGTTAATCTACTGATTCATTTACAATTATGAAAGGTAGCAAAGGTGTAGACTTGTTTGCATCGCTTTGCAACATTTATGAGACTTTAGAAAATGAGTTGAGGAAAAGAATGGAGAAGGCCAATGATTTAATAAAAGATATTTTAAAAAAATATCGACGTTCTGCATCAGAATGCAGAAGTGAAAACCTGAAGAATATTGACACAAGTTAAGTTGAAAGTTCTTTCACACACACACACAGACACACACACACACACACACTCTCTCTCTCTCTCTCTCTCTCTCTATATATATATATATATTATATACGAATATGTTACACTAGTTAAATCAATCATACTTCTAGTTCATGTTTCCTTAGTGAAAATTTTTATTTCCTAATGCAGATGGATTGATTTATTTTGAAGACCTATTGGAAGACACATCACTTTCCTCCAGTTTAAATATTCTAGAAAAGGATTATGCTGATGCAACTTGTAACAAGGGGGAACTGAATGAAAGGGTGTTTTGTAATGTTTGGTTCATTGGCATGAGATAAAATGGAATGTTCATTCCATTATGCAACCTAACTAAAAATAATTGGTAAAGCTCAATACTTTTCTTACATTTTAACTTCATTTTCGCAGCAAACAAACAAAGGGATTGTAATATGCCTACTTACAAAACAATGATTTTTAGAGCAGTTCCCATCAATTCATGACTAAATAATAATTTAATAAATAAACAAACAAAACAATGGACTATCCCCTATTGTAGACCTTGAGAAAAAATTTAAAAATCTCATAGAAGAAACATATAACATCAAATTCAATTTTTAACTCCTCTAATCAATATATATATAGATCCAATTTCCAAAATTTAAAACATACATACACAAATAAATAAACATACATATACGATTCAATTGCATATATGTATACATCGTATGTGTGTGCGTGTGACCATCTAAGTCTACATCTACACAAGAAGAAACATATAACATCAAATTCAATCTTTTAACTCCTCTAATCAATATATATATAGATCCAATTTCCAAAATTTAAAACATACATACACAAATAAATAAACATACATATACGATTCAATTGCATATATGTATACATCGTATGTGTGTGTGTGTGACCATCTAAGTCTACATCTACACAAATTGTAAATTATAAAAGGGGAACCCCGCTGAAAAAATATAGAAAGACGGACAATGGTGCTCGTATGAAGTCACAAGATCAAACTACAAATATATATATATATACATGAATAGAGAGAGAGAGAGAGAGAGGCTAACTTACTAAGCAAAAGTGGTGAAGCCGAAGATGAAAAGGCAGCAAAACATGGGATAAAGTAAATGGAGATAGGAGCTAGGGTTTCGTTACAGTTTGGGAGTGCAGAGAGTGAGGAGATACAACCAAGCAACCAATCTGACTATGAGGAGTCAAAAGAGAGCAACGATGAAAAAGAAACCCAATTGATTTAGGAAACAATCATTTTTTATTTAGGAACAATGGTTTTTGATTTAGGAAACATTCAAAACTACGTATTTTTCTTACAAAATATTCCCTTTTCATTTATGTGACCACAATTTACTAGTCATCACAAGTTTTGACATCCTGTTTTTTTTTTTTTTTTTTTTTTTTTTTCCCCCCCTTTTTTTTTTTTTGGCTCTCCCGCCATTACTTTCAGAACCACATTTTATATTTGGTCACAAAAAGTACCTATTAGCCACCAAAAAGTCGTTGGTCACTAAATTACAAATCATTCGCGACCAAAAAAAATGTTGGTCGCAGAAAGTAAACTATCTGCGACCAACTTAAAAAATGTGGTGGCCAAAAGTGTTTTTCCTTGTACTGAACATATTAGAAGGCAGTGAAGTCTTCTCAGATTGAATCACCGTTGAAGACTTCTTAGGTTGAATCATCATTGTTGCTCGTGAGAGCTTAACCGCTTTGATACCATGAAGAAAATAGAGAGAAAGAGAGAGAAAAGCTTCAAAGATATTATTGATTAAAACTGAATCTCTTACTTACATCACTGGACTAGTTTGAAAAATCTAAAAACCCTTGAAATATTGATTCGTGATTATATTTTAATTTTAAACAATGGGTGTCAATCCCAATTAAACAATCAATAACAAATCGGCACAACAATTTATGATGGAAAAAATCACAATTAGAGCATCTCCGATTGTGATAAAAAATCACGGGCCAAAGTCACAAAACAGTCCACTAAGAAGACAAAAAAGAATTACACACGAGTACCCTCAATTACCGAGCGAATCCACGCTCGAATTAAACCAAACCCGATGTGTTTCTTTCACCAACGTCTTTACTTCGGAATTGCTTTGCTCAACGTTGAATCCACAACATTGATGTTGAATTCACGACGATGAGCCACTTTGAAATCTACCAAAACTTTAGGCCCAAGTTTCGTGGAATCCATCGATGGACACCTCTCTCTTTTTGTGAATAAACAAACAAAATCAACCCTTGATGTTTATCAATATGTAGTTCGTTGATCAATCGATCAAGAAAACTCATATAAACCATCCTCTAGTATAGAACATTTTTGTGTTTTACTTCTCTCTGACAATCTGGATGAGGTAAACCTTAAAAAAGCAAACAGCACACTTTATACTAAGCAAAGTCGTGAAGACCACTTGAGCGGTGTGACTAAAAGGCAGTGCAAACATATAGGCCACTTGCTCGAGTGCAACATCCACTACTCAAGCGGTGAAACATATTTTCTAGAAGTTCAGTTTACAGGTAGAGATACTGGATGATTCACTTCACTGTATATGGTCAACAAAGTGGCAAATAAAGAATGCTCAAGATACGGAATGTCAGCACAAACTCTTCTATATATGCACAATTCAGATTGGATTCACATTTAAACACTCACCACCTCACTAAACAAAAAA